GACACCAAGGCACTGGTGTTCTTCCCTGGTCAGCAATACCCCCTGTATGTTATAACATATCATGCTGGAAGAATTAAGGGCTGTTGGCCCAACTCCATCAAAGGAGGACAAAGGAAAGCTCATGCCTGGTCTACCCCGGACCCTGCCCCAGTGGCCGCTTCCCTTGGCAGAATTTTTTTAAGTTAGGGTCTCGCTCTGTTGTCCAGGCTGGAGTGCAGTGACATAATCACAGTTTACTGAGCCTCCTGCTCCTGCCTCAGCATCCTGAGTAGGTGGGACTACAGGCGCATATCACCATGTCCAGCTAATTTTCTTGTTTTTTTTTTTGTAGAGATGAAGTCTTGCTATGTTGTTCAGGATGGTCTTGAACTCTTAGGCTCAAGTAATCCTCCCACCCCGGCCTCCCAAGGTGTTGGGATTACAGGTGTGAGCCACGACACCCAGCCCCCTTGGCAGATTTTTTTTTTTGAGTTGGAGTCTCACTCGTTTGCCCAGTCTGGAGTGCAGTGGCTGCTCCCAGCCACCGCAGCCTCGCCTGCTGGACTCTGGCGATCCTTCCGCCTCAGCCTTCCGAGTAGCCAGAATTACAGGCATGTGCTATCACGCCTGGCTGATTTTTTGATTTATTGTAGAGATGAGGTCTCGCTGCCCAGGCGGGTCTCGAACCCGCGGGTTCAGGCAATCCACTCACCTCAGCCTCCCAAAGCGCGGGATTACAGGCTGAGCCACCGAGCCTGGCTCCTTGGCAGATTTTAATCCATGTCCTTCCACTGTATAAACTGTAACCATGGGTATGACAGCTTTGCTGAGTTCTGAGTTTCTATAGTGAATCACTGGACCTGAGAGTGGTCTTAGGGATCCCGAAACACAGGACTCTGTGCCTTTCTCTATGAAGATTTTCTACAAAGAAAACTAGCATTTGCCATTCATGGTAAGAACAAACCAAGAGCCAGGATTGATCTGTGTGACCCCACTCGAGGCTTCATAAAATACAACTTTATCACTATTACCTAAATATCCCTCAATACATATTACTATATGTTACTATATAAAAAATCACATTTAAACACATAGATATACATAATCACACAGATATGCAGGCAGTTTTAATTAACTGAAAGGAGAAGTTATAATTATCCTACCCAAGTACTTACCATGCTTAAAGTGTTGAAGAGTGAAATATGCTAAAGAGGTGTATATTTACAAGTCCTAGGAATTCTTCACCTACTTGAGTTCTTAAGAAAACATTTGTCTTCTGCTGTGTGAATACTGAATTTTTCCACAAAATTGCCATGACTAGAACTTCTGGGGTGAGAACTGACAGGTGGACATCCATGCTGTGAGCCCCTTCCCCCCAAATGCAGAGGTAAGTGACACAAAGACAGAGCGAGGCCAGGATAGAGTCCAGGAGAATGCCCCAAGGTCCACAGCCAGAAGAGGAAGCCAACATCGAGAACTGAGCCTATGGGTGCCCTGTTCAAGAGCAGGTCATGTAGCCTGAGCCCCCTGACATGAGCGGGCTTGGCCGGGCCCCTCTCTGCAGCAGGCACTGCCCAGGTTGTGGCCAGAGAACAGCCAAGGGAGTGGCAGGAGAGCAGAAAGGGGACCAAGGACAGCTCAGGTCATCCACTGGGATATAGGCAGCAGTGGGCAAGGGAACAGGTGGCAGCAAACACCAAATGGGAGGAGATGGACATGAAGAGAAAGAAAAAGTACCCTAAAAATGAGCCTGCAAATCAAATGAACACTAGGAAAGTCACACTCAAAATTCTCTGCAAAAAAAATGCAAATAACAAAGGAATCTCAAAGCAAACAAATTGCAGTTCTTAAAAGAGGTCAAAGAAATACTGATAGCCATAACAAATCAAAAAACAGGTACCTCCCTGCCCTCCTGGTATATCCCCAGAGCAGAACACAGCAGGGAGACAGGGAGCTCAAGTTCTGCCACTTCCCAGTGTGGAGGCCCTGCCATGATCCCTGAACCACAGGAAGAAAGCAGGACTCCTCCCCAAGCACCAACAGTGAAGGAAGCCACCTTCTCTCTTCCCATTTATCGTTGTGGTCTCATCAGGAGACCCTCCATGAACCACTGAGTATGCATTACAACCTCCACCATGCCACACTCTGGCTCTAGCACATGGGTATATCTTGTCACATAATTGCCACTTAATGACATATTCACTTTTCTGATATTGTCTGTGTTTCTAACCAGAATATAATGGGACGGGGGTTTTGCCACTTCTTCACTCCTATATCTATAGAACTTAAAGAACATTTTTGTATGACACATAGTTTGTGTTCAATACATACCAATGAAGGGGTTTAACACTCGTGTTGGTTCCCAAAGTTGATGCTGCCAGCAGGGATCACTTGTACAGCTACTAATGATGGGGCACTTCATGCTGAGGCCAGCGCACCTCATGGAGGCTGCCAGATCTCCCTGCCACCCAGTCACAAAAACTTGAGCCCTACCTGGCCTTGGGACACTAGCTCTCCCGCACATTGACCCAGAATGTGGAAAGGATGGTGTAGTGTCAGGAGCTGTGGTGGTGGTGGGGCTGCCTGTGATGGTCTGGGGACACTGACAGAGGTTCTTGGAGAAACTTTCAAAGGTGAGCTCCCAGCCCAGCAATCAAAGTACTACTGCATCCACACAGAGACTGTCAAAAGCATGTAAATTATGGGCAAAAACAGCCATTTGGGGATGGCTTTTTTCTTTCTTTTTTTTTTTTTTTTGCGTCAGGGTCTCTGTCGACTAGACTGGAGTACAGTGACACAATCACAGCTCACCACAGCCTCGACCTCCTGGGCTCAGGTGGGCATCCTGCCTCAATCTCCCAAGCAGCTGGGGCTATAGGCATAAGCCACCATGTTCAACTAATTTTAAAATTTTTTTGTAGAGATAAGGTCTTGCTAAGTTGCCCAGGCTGGTCTCTAACTCCTGGGCTCAAGTAATCCTCCAGCATCAGCCTCCCAAAGTGCTGATATTATAGGCATGAACCACCACGCTCAGCCTCTTTTTTTCTTCTTTAAGAACTATGGGCTGGGTGCAATGGCTCATATGTGTAATCCCAGAATTCTGGGAGGCTGAGACAGGAGGATCACTTGAACCCAGGAGTTTGAGACTAGCCTGGGCAACACAGTGAGACCCTATTGCTACAAAAATTACAAAAATTAGCTGGGTGGTGATGTGTTCCTATAGTCCCAGCTACTCTGGAGGCTGAGGTGGAGGGACTGTCTGAGTCCAGGAGGTCGAGACTACAGTGAGCCGTGATGACATCACTGCACTCCAGCCTGGGCAGCAGATTGAGACTCTGTCTCAAAACAAACAAACAAACAAAACTAAACAAAATGTGCAACTGACTATGTGAGCTATGTGGCATGGCCTTAGTCTCAGGGCCACATCTGCTGTGCCAGCTGCTGGCCTGTGTAGGCTGCTGTGGGGTTTGTCATATCTCACATCTGTCCCGCTCACTACACAATCAACTTGCCTATGGATCTTGCAGCTCAAAGCATGTTCCCTCTGGAATGGGAGGAGGTTGATGTGGCCAAGAGCCAGGACCCTCTTACTGTGTAGGCATGGTTTCCAGGTAAGCTGCACTGCCAATCAAGTCTAACACTACAGAGCCATTGCATATCCTCCTGCTGCAGACAGAAGAGAAATATAAGATGTCTTTTCTGACAAGGAAGGTCATGTCCTCCCTTCCAGTGTAAGCCTTGTGACCGTGAAAGAATTCCTAGTGAGACTCGCTAGTACCCGAGCCTGCAGTTTCTTAGGAGCACACAGGAGTGACTCCTCTCATCCCTTTATCCCACCAGCTCTGTTGGGAGCACGCACATATGACTGGCAGGAGCCATGGAACCAGCGCCACCTTTTCATGGATGTTGTCCATTATCACGAATGTGGGAAAACACAAAATGAATTTTAATTCATGTATAAAATTAAATGCCTGCTTGTCCTTTTTACATTTTAAATGTACCTTAAAAATGGGCAAAGAGAGGACACTGATGTCAGAAACACTCTGGGTGGTCATGTGTTTATGTCTCAGCAAGTGACGCTGGAAGCCAACATAAACCCCACTGGCCTCTGCTGTGGGCCCAGGGTGGGGGCCTAGTCCTGACCATCACATAGCTCCTGGCCTGATGAGCTGCCATCAGGCAGGAAGAACACCCGTGCCAAGAGGCCACTCCATAGGCGAGGTGGTGCCATGGGGACAGGTAAGACACAGCCACAGGTAGATAGCACTGGCACAGCCGAGACAGCCCAGGCTAAATGGGGCCATGACACAGGGTGCACCTCAGGAAGCCCTACCAGGGAGCCCATCCCATTCTCACAACCCCCCACTCCAGGCCTGGGCTATGCTCCCCACAAATTCAAGAAGGAGGGGATGATCATTGCTTGGCACAGGCTCACTGGCTCCGCTGTGGCTCATACGTGTAATCCCAGAACTTTGGGAAGCCGAGACAAGAGGATCACTTGAGTTCAGGAGTTTGAGATTAGCCTGGACAACACAGTGGCTGTGCTGGGCCTGGGACAGGTGGGACTCTGGACCACAAGATCCAGGAAGACAGGCTCCAAAGCCAGTACCGTGGGGATACCCAGCAGCGCTTCTCATCCTCAGTGATGAGGGCACTTAGTTACCCACATTGGGTTGGGAGCACCAACTAATCTTAAACTGAGTCCCTTTGAGGAGGGGACCGGGCATGACCATACTCCAGGAAGGAGGGAGGGGGACCCTTGCCCACCAAAGTGACGCACACCCAAGCAAGGGGGTAGGCTCGGGGCCAGTGTTGGCATGGAGACCTGGCTCTCCCACTGACCTCAGTGACCCAGACATGGGCCCAGCACACACTCAGCAATCACCCGCCATATCACAGGAGCTTGCTTAACACAGCATTGCCATGTAACACCCTCCACACTATGGCGCATGTGTGTGGAGGTCCCTGAGCTGTGCAAGGAGCATCCCTTCCCCCATTCCCTGCCTGCCTGCACCTCCTACCAGCTTTGGGCTCCACCGTCTTGTTGGCGCCTTCCTCCATGAACACGAACCGCCCTCCGCCAAAGTCCTCCAGGTAGTCAGAGAGGTAGAGCAGCGAGGTGTAGTCAAAGGAGCCGTAAGTCACCTGTGGGGCAGAGCCAGGGGAGGGGTCAGATTCTGTGAGGAACAAGGGGAAGCCGGGACCTCATTTTCCAGAAGGCAAATAAGCAGAATGTGTAGGCCCCAGAGACGAGGCCATTTGTTCCTTCACAGCTTTAGAAAAGCCTCAGCCAAGTCCCTAGTTTTATGCACTTCTGCCTAGGGTAAAGCTCACATGTCTGAGCAGCTATGACCTGGCAGACGCTGCATGTGCAGGACAACCATGGGGGACACTGGCTGATGCCTAAAATGGCAGCCACAGTGTCCACACAAGGGAAGCAGAGGCAGCAGTAAAAAGTGCTTTTGCTTATTTTTTCAGATGTGGGCAACCCCAAACTTTTAAAATTAATTGTGATAAAATATATCTAACAAACAATTTACCATCTTAACCACCTTTAAGAGCTCAGTTCGGTGGCACTAAGTACACTCATGTTGTACAGCCATCCCCACCATCTGTCTTCAGAACTCATCTTCCCAAACTGAAGCTCTGTCTCCATTAAACGCTCATTCCCCATCCACTTCCCCCAGTCCAACACCCTTCATTCTACTTTCTGTCTCTGAATATGATGACTCTGGGGAATTCACATAAGTGGAATCACATGGTGTTTGTCCTTGTGTGACTGGCTCACTTCACTGAGAGTGATGTCTGAGGCTCGTCCTGTTGCAGCATCCACTCCCGTGCTACAGTGAGAACTCAGCACCAAGCCACACCCAGGTACCAGGGAGTATGGTTGCAGGGTGGGAGTCACTTCAGGTGACTGCCCTGCAGTGGGGAGGGTGGGTCTCCGCCTGATCAGCTGTTTCAACCATACCCAGAGTAGGGCAGGAAGAGCTACTCGGGGAGGAAAGCACCGAAACGGACTCAGCTCAGCACCGTCACACGACAGAGTCATAAGGGGCTGTAGAAAGAGCCCAGGCTTGAAGGCAGCTCCCAATGTGGGTGAGTCAGTGACTCCCCAAGACCTTGCCTACCTCCTTCCTAGAAGGAGACCATGCCTGTGTGGTCCACAGTTGGGTTGTGTTCATCTCCTGAGATCCGACTGAATGGAAACCCAACCTCAAGTCGTCTCCTGGGAGGTAGGTCAAGCTACCTCCTTCTGGCTGCCTGGAGGCCCCTTGGGCTTAGGCATGCTCTGTGGGCTCCACATCATCCCTGCCTCACAGCTGCTTCCAGGATCCTGTCCCCAAAACCTCCCAAACATGAGGCCTTGCCAGGTTCTGATTTGAAGAAGCCCAGGTCAGACATATCATGTGAGCGGAGCAGGGTGCAGGACGACCACCTTATGTAAAGGGGGAAGTCATACCACACTTCATGATCTGACTTGCCATTGGTTGCCTTATTTTATGCAGCAGGAAGAAATAACAATTGCCAGAAAAAATGTTTTAATGTGATTCTTTACAATGAATAGAATGCAGTATTTTTACATATCTGTTTTTATGTACATAGAGAAATTCAAGAAGGGACTCTAAAGCTTCATGATGAGGTTACCTGGCAGGTGAAGGGGTTACTGGGAAGGGGTGAAAGATGCATTTTTTAAATACTCACCTTTTTATTTTTTTCACCTTTCAACCTTGTAGGATGCATTACTTCTTTGAAACAATTAAATTTAAAATAAAGTACACTGGCTGGAAGTCAGCAAAATAGCTCCCAACAGAACAATGGGGAAATCTCCCAGGTTTTTAAATAGTTCTGTTTCACTGAAGCCAATGCCTTTGCTAATTAGAAAAACATAAATGTCTAGATGCTACTTTGGTTTCTGATAGATAGACAGAATTCAGTCATGGACCATGGAAGAAGGCTGAGAGATGAGAACTGGGGAGAAGCTGCTTCCTCCACCCTTGCTAAGGAGGTTGTTTGTGCTGGTGAAATGCCAATGAGTATAAATACAAAAAACAAAAATGGGAAAATGAAGATTCCCAGCACATGCCCTGCAGTGATTAAAAAGAAAGTGGGTCTATGCACAGCACCTGCACTTAATGCCTGGTGTCAACGCTCATAGCACCCAAAAAGGAGAGGAGAGGCTTAAAAGTAATCCCAAACCTTTATTTTCTTGTTCTCTTAGGTTTACTGTTTCAATGCCAAGTGGCAGAGGCCAAGATAGAGTAAGCCAGTTGCAGATGACAACTGCAACCCTCTCCCACTAATTACAACTAAAAGTGCCCAGGATGCAAAAAGTCACAGCCTGAGGACTCTAAAAAGAAAACAGTGCAGGCTAACCAGAGGATAGTCAAGATGTGAACTATGGCCTGAGTTGCATGGGGCCTCTTTGCCTCCCTGAGGGTGGGCCCAACGGAGGAACTGCACCCAGGTATGAGCAGTAAAACCTCTAGGAGAAACCCTCTGTTTCTGGCAGAGGACCTGGAAAGGGGGCCTCTGCATCCTGGAGAGTATGGGGGAATCGTCTCTCTCCCAGGCCTGCCCTAAGGCCAGCCACAGCCACAGAACTGCTCAGTCCAGGTCCAGGTCCTATGCTATGGGGCGCCTGAAAACCTGAGAGAACAGTTTTCTGGCTGGAGAACCTAGAATGGGGACCCTGTTGTCTGAAGACTGTGGAGGAATCCCTGTAATTTTTCCTCTTTCTTTTCTCTTGCTGCGTCATCTGAAGGTGAGCCCACATCACACAGAATGAAGTATAGCATAGAGGGCTAAGAGAAACCTGGGTTCCAACAAAAAGAATAAGGAAAGAAGCCCCTGGGAGTCAGAAAGTTATGGGGCAAATCCCTGAAGGGAGAGTTGGGAAAGGGGATCCCCTAAATCTGAGTACGGACCAACATGAGGCTTTGGCTCACCCTCCCCACCCCTAGCTTTTATGCAGAGGAGACCAAAGAAACAAAGACCAGAGTCTGCTGGAGAGTGGTCAGTGAGAGTCCATTGGCCCATCCCCCTATTACACAGGCAGGGAGACTGAGGCCCAAAGGGAGTATACGGTGAATTAGAGAGAGTGGTTCTGTGGGTTGGCAGTCCTGACATACCATGGTGGAGGTGTGTGCCTTCTGGATTTGGGGGTCCCCTTGTCTGCCTTCACAGGTTTAGCCCAAAACGAGGAGGGGGCTGGGGTAGGCATCAGCAGCCCTGGCTGTACTGTACCTGACCAGCTTGTGGGGGGCTTCCCAGCAAGAAAATGGAAGGACAACAGGCTCAGAAGTACACAGGGACCTGGAGTCATGGATACTTGGCCTGAATGCCTATTGAGTCCAGAGAAGGAATGACACATTTTAAGCTATATTTTAATAACCGTCCTTTCCTCTCATCCCCTCTCCCCCATCTATCCCCCACCTTCCCATCTCTCACCTCTAACAATCTGGCCCAAAAAGCATGAATGGATTCTAGGCTCCAGGCAGCTTTCAAGAACCAAACTGTAATACAAACCACCAGCCACATCTTAGACTCAGCCACAAGTGGTGCATGTGTCTACCAACACAGCAGAAAATTGACATGGGAAAACCCACCCACAGGAGGCAAGACAGTACATGTGGTCTGAATGGAACCAAACTGACTGCCTGATAGAAGAAAACAAATCAATCAACATTCTTCAGAGGATTTTTGTAGGATCCAGAGTCTTAAGCATTTAAAATGTCGAGGACACAGTTAAAAATTACTCCATGTATGTAGAACCAAGAAAATCTGACCAATTCTCAAGGGAAAAGACAATCATTAGACATCAACCATGAAACAACCCAGATATTAGAATTATCTAACAAATACTTTATCCATCTGCCAACCTCTACCTTTTAACTGGAGTGTTTAATCCTTTTACTTTTTTTTTTTGAGTCGAAGTCTCACTTGTAGTAGCATGCTCTCAGCCACCGCAGCCTCGACCTGCTGGGTTCCGGCGATCCTTCCGTCTCAGCCTTCCAAGTAGCCAGAACTACAGGCGTGCGCTACCATGCCTGGCTTTTTTTTTTTTAATTGTAGAGATGAGGTCTTGTCAAGTTGCCTGGGTGGGTCTCGAACCTGCGGGCTCAGGCAATCCACTCGCTTCGGCCTCCCAAAGTGCTGGGATTACAGGATAAGCCACCAAACCCGGCCTTTTTTTTTAAAGAGACAAAGTCGCTGGGCTCGGTGGCTCAGCCTGTCATCCCGCGCTTTGGGAGGCTGAGGTAAGTGGATTGTCTGTGCCCACGGGTTCAAGACCCGCCTGGCCAACTTGGGGAGACCTCGTCTCTACAATAAATCAAAAAATTAGCCGGGCGTGATAGCGCATGCCTGTAATTCCAGCTACTTGGAAGGCTGAGGCGGAAGGATCGCTGGAGCCCAGCAGGTGGAGGCTGCGGTGGCCAGGAGCGGCCACTGCACTCCAGTCTGGGCGACAGAGTGAGACTGCGACTCAAAAAAAAAAGAGACAAAGTCTTGCTCTTATTGCCCAAGCTGGAGTGCAATGGTGTGATCATAGCTCACTGCAGCTTTGGACTCCTGGGCTCAAGTGATCCTCCCACTTCAGACTTCTCACCTATAGCTGGGACTACAGGTGTCTGCCACCACCCATGGATAAATATTTTTAAAATTTTTATAGAGACAAGGTCTTGCTATATTGCTCAGGCTGGTCTTGAATTCTTAGCCTCAATCCATCCTCTGGCCTCAGCCTCCCAAAGTACAGGCATGAACCAACACACCTGGCCCCATTGACATTTAATGTAATTACTGGTAGGGTAGGATTTTACTATTTGTTTTCTATATGTCTGATACCTTTTGGGTCCTCTATTCCTCCATCATTGTCATCTTTTGTGCTAAATATTTTCTAGTGTACCATCTTAATTTCCTTGTCATTTATTTTAGACATTTTAAATTTTCTTAGCAATTCCTCTGAGGATTACAACTAACATATTAATTTAAAACAATTTAGTTCAAATTAATACTAACAATTTCAATAACACATAAAAACTTTGCTCCTATATAATCAGTTCCTTCCTGTGCTATTATTGTCTCACAAATCACATCTTTATACACTGTGAGCCTATCGACACAGATTTATAGTTATTTCTTTA